AATTCAAATAACCAGTTTCACTTTGTGCCTGTACGTTACCAATGCCAGTTCTCGGGATGCCCTCACAGGATGCTTGCAGTTATTTCAGTTGCTTATTTCTTTATCTGTCTGCCAAGATGAGTAAGATACAGCCAAAGCTATGTCTGTATGAGGCGCAGAGCAAACAGAAACTATTTGGAGATTGAGTAAGTAAATGCAGGCTGTTTATGTACCATATTATTGCTTTTAAAATCTCATTACTAGCTAATTCTTGGTGGCTTGCCTATCTTTCTAGTAAAGTTTGAAGTTTAAAGTTGGTAATGAAATACGTAGAAAGAATACATGAATATAATGCCAAGAAATGAATAATTAGCACAAGTACCCTGTTGCTGTGGTTTGGATAGAAGGTAGTCTCCAGGGTAGAGCTATTGAGGTAAAGAAAATCTGTTCTGTTACACACTGTCCACCTTTGTCACCTGGCACCCACTCCTATGAGAAACCCAAAGCCACGTCTACATGGCATTAGCCTAAAATGAACAAAACTGTGAACCAGAAGAAATCTTTTCGCTTCATACATTATCTCAGTATTTCATTGTGGTTGCAGAAGCAAACACAACTGTCTATATGGTAAGAAGCATAGCTTCTCTAGTATCATATCAAATGAATGTTTGTTGGGCATTCATTTATGGGCAGATTGGTGGTATTCACTTGGTAAATTGAGTAATGGAATAATTTTTGGCTATTGCTACAATCTGGGGTTTTAAACCTTCATAAAATGATCTCTTTATAATACTTGATCATCATCTTGTAATTAAATATTTGACTTATGCCTACTGTTTTCATATAAGATATGTGTGGATAACATGAACTAAGATGGCTTTGCTGATGCTTTAAATTTATGTTGCAGCCAAATGAAAAGACTAATTCAACAAAGAGTTGGTTGTGGCTTTATTTTTATAATTGGGTAATTTCTGTTATTCATAATGTTCTGAAATGCTGCTATGAGTTTACTGTTATACTAAAACTAAGAAGGCAATATTTTACTACTAGTAGTAATAAACCACCAGTACTAAGTACTTATTGTTTCAGGTACAATTCTTTCACTAAAGTCTCACAGCAGATTTATGAAGGAGGAATCATGTCTGCGGATTTTTTACAGAGGAAGAAAGCGGGGTACAGAAGGAGTAACTCTTACAACTTCTCACTGCCAGGAAGAGGTAGAGCTCGAGCTGAGGTTACCCAGCTTGACTGTAGAATTAATGTCCTTAACTACCACATAATAGTTTATGTTTCATTTAAGAATATTTTTATATTTATTCTATTTTTAATTAATTGTAAGTTCATGTAAGCATGTGTCCTGAAAGGCCAGAGATGTTGGATCCCTCTGAAGTTGGAATTACTAGTGACTGTGAGCTGCTCAACATAGGTGCAGGGAATTAAACTCAGATTCACTACAAAAGCAGCATGTGCTTTTAAGCACTGAGCCATCATTCCAACCCAATAGTTTATATTTATGCTACATCAGTTTCACATATGATGGATAAATTTGCTTCTGAAAATAAGGCAGTAAGAAACCAACCTATTGTAGAAACTTGCTGGGAACCAAACTGATCCAAGGCTTTCCTGAGGCCCTGAGATGGACCTATAACCATGAACATGCTTAGCAAGTCATTAATAGCCTGGGGCCAGATCCTTGGGAGCTTTTCTCCAGCCTCTGATGTATGGAGAAGGAACATAGTTTCTTGTCTAAAACCACCAATATGCTTGGCAGAGCCAATAGTGGCCCAGGGACAGGGCGTTGGGGGAGCTGAGGCTTTCCCTAGAAACCAACTATCCCCTCAAAGGACTATGGTTCTCAGTTCTAAGGCCCCTGTGATGCACTTAAAATACTGTGTTCCTTTTGCGCAACATTGCTTGATGAGCTTCCTGTTGATTTCTTCCTATTGTATGATAGCTTTCTGCTGATCATGTCCCATCTTCTTGAAAACCATACACAAGACACTGTACTTCTTAATAAGCTTGCTTAGCATAAGACACAGCTTGTGCAAGACCTGACCCCAGATTTTATATCTTCTTTATCTTCTCTCCCCCTGGTCCACTAGCTTTAGGACCCCATCACTGAAGAACGACCTGGTCCAGGTCAGAAGCTCATCATTTGAAGTGGGAAGAGTGAAAAACAATGACAGCATGAAATTTGCAGGCAAATGGATGGAACTAGAAAATATCATCCTGAGTGAGGTAACCCAAACCCAGAAGGACAAACATGGAATGTACTCACTCATAAGTGGATATTAGATATAAAGCAAAGAACAATCAGACTGCAACCTACAGAACCAGGGAGGCTACCTAGCAGGGGCGACCCTAGGATGACTGTGGTTTATAATAAGTTTTTTTTTTTTTTTTGGTTTTTCGAGACAGGGTTTCTCTGTGTTGCTTTGCGCCTTTCTTGGGACTCACTTGGTAGCCCAGGCTGGCCTCGAACTCACAGAGATCCACCTCCTCTGCCTCCCGAGAGCTGGGATTAAAGGCGTGCGCCACCACCACCCGGCCGATTAAGTTTTGGTTTTACTCAATTACTTGGCAAGCCTCAATGAAACATTTCACTATTAGGATAAGAATTTGTACTGTATAAAGCTGATAACAGAAACATAAATAAATAAATAAAAAAAGGAAGTTGGAAGAGTGAGGCATGTCAGCTCCCAGTACTCAGTTTTTCTGATAAGAGAGATTTCTTGCTCCACATGGCTGACAATCTAACTAGGGGAACTGTTATAGAACACACCTTTAGAGATAATAACACGTCATGGGATCAGAAGAGTACAAATGAGTATTTGGTAGGACTTGCTATGAATGTTGAAAGAAGTACTTTTTAGACACTCAGCTACTCTAGAAGGTAAATTAATGCCAGAATAAAAAGTTAGGTTCTCAGGGATGGAGAGATGAATCAGCAGGTAAAAGCACTGCTTCCAGTTCTAACAACCTGAGTTTGGTACTCAGGTCCCACATGGTGGAAGGAACAGCTGACTCCTGTAAGTTGTACTTTGACCTCTAACACATGCTGTGGCATACCCACACCCACACACATACAAATGCATATACAATAAAAAAATTAATGTAATCAAAAAAGAGTTAGGACTTTATTCTCTAGACCTGCTTTGCTCAATGAGATAGCCATTAGTGGCATGAGGCTATGAATACTGGAAACCAGTAGCCCAAACTAAGATTTGCTGTAAGAACAAACTATATGTCAGCTCTTTATATGATGACCTTTTATAATGATAGTATTCTAGATATGTTGTGTTAAATATAGTATTTTAAAAGTCACACATGTAGCTTGCATATGTGGCTTACTTTCCTATATTTCTATTGGATAACATTGTTCTAGAAAACAGGAGATTAAAGAGCAGCGACCCAAAAAACAGTCACTGTGAGAAGTTTATCCAAGTGTCAATGACTTGCATTATAAGACAAACCATCTTTTTTTCCCCAAAGAAATAAAAACAACAATAACAAAAACAAAAACAAGTTGTTAGTGAAGGAATTAGTCTGATAAAATACATTTTTTTAGAGGCAGAGCAACCAGATTTGGTGTTCCAAGTGTTTGGATACAGATCCAAGCAAACTACTCCTAAAACATCTTTGAAACAACCTGAGAGATTAGAACAGGGTGGGTATATTGGATGATATAAATTAAATATTGACAGTTTTGATTGATTAAGGACACCTCAATAAAATAAAAAGTTGGCAGCAAACTAAAGGACTTGGAGATAAAATGCAAAGCATTTGGGATTTCCTGGGTGATATCAAATAAGTGGCTAGATATGAGACATGCAATAACCCAATGAGATAGTATATAAAAACTCTGGTTCCAAAAACTGAACTTCTTGAATAGATTTCTGTATACAAAGAAGGGTCAAGTAGGATTGTTTGAGGGGAGGATAGTTTAATGGAGGTTTTCTTATAATATTGTAGGAGAGGTCCACAATTCTCACTTCTGTTGTTTTGCATATTTTGGTATGCCCCATAGAAATAGTTTTCTAAATCCAGGACCAAAGCTAGACCCTTTGACCGTTAGTATAATGATCTTTGCTTCAAATATGACAAAATCCAGTGGAGAACCTACTCTATACTTTCATATTAAGATTTTTAAAGTCAACTGTATCATTTTGAAATTCCTCGTGTATTCTCTAATGTTCACAACATTAAAGAATTTATCCTGTTAGAATATTTCCTCTTAGTTTTATTTTCAGTGCTTCTTAAATTGGTATTTGGTAGAAGAAAGACTGAAGGGGAAATATACTTAGATATACTTATCTAAGAAAGTAGCAACAACCGAAAACACTTTGTATCTCCAAGGGAGGTCATATTATGTTCTCAAGACTAAGATGCTTTTCATCTCCAGATACAACGCAAAGAAGAGATCAAGGCAAAGTAAGAAACACAGAGAAGAGTTAATAAAAGGGAACAAAGAAAGAGAGACGAGAAGAAAAAAACTAACAGCACACTTAAAAAGTGCTCGTTTGGAGTACCCTTACCAAAATGACTCACAAAGGACAGTTCATTCTGGTAGGAGTGCTGGTTCTACACCTGCGTAATTAAGTATCTGGCCTTGATCACTGATTTGTTTCATCTACAAAGTAGTTATAGCAACACCTTCCAAAGTTGTCTCAGTGGGCTGAAATGAAGCGAAAAAGAGTAAATGTGAAAGTATTTGAATTAAAAAAAAACAACTTTAAGTCATTTGCAGAAGCCTAAAGGGAATGATTATTAGGCATAATTTATGAGCTATCCTCATCCTTATCACCAACTTTCCGCCCCCAGTATAAACCAGTATGACCTGAGTTGCTCAAGATAAGGTAAGCGGAACCTGGGATGAAGGTGCTCCCCAGCAGAGGTGGAAGGCTGTGACAATGTCGGCCGGGGCCAGGGCAATTAGAGCAAGACGAGGAAAGGCAGTTCTCCAGAGCTCCTCTCACAGCTGACAGAAACCCGACGGGTTACCATAGCAACCGCGTCAGGGCAAGAGGCGGGGCCCTTCAGGTATGTGCATCTACAACTAGGGCTCGACTGGAAACGTATTCCCACTGAACGCAGACTTCCGGCGGAAGGGAAAGTGGGTTCTGCTCTCTGCCCGAATGGGCTCCGGCTGTCTCCCGTGTGAAACTTGGTGAGTCTGACGCTGTGTGGAGCCAGGGGAAGGCACTGGCAGCAGCAGGCTGGGTAGGGCGGACTGTGGATGCCTGGAGTCCTGAAGCTCCAAGTCGGCGAGACCCGGCTGCCTCATGGTGAACTGGTTTCTAAAGCTGGGAGGACTGTGGCATCCTGGAGTGCACAGCTTCGGGAGCGATGTATTCGCAGGCTGTGAGCATCTGTGCCCTAGCAGGACTGCCCTCTCCCTGAGCCCGTGCTGTCACTTCGTACATGTTTACGTTTACTCTGGAAGAAAATAAGTGAGCAGCGAAAATTCAGAGGCTATGCATGCCATCAGCTTCATTTCTTTGGCATTCTAATTTCTTTATCCATTCGTTTCGTGAATTCTAAGCCCCAGTGTTTTTAGTGAACACCTGAATGCCAGTTTTACCATTAGTATATAAGAAATACCTTCTTAGAAGTTCAGCCATCACCGAGACTCATTACTAAATTCTCCTTTTGATGACATTGTGAATTTATTTAAAAGCTTAGCATATACTATGATATATCTAGCAGGTTTTCTGTGCTTCCTAGTATTCTTCCTTATACATGGCATTTATGAGACTTTTTAAATGGAACTATAGACTTTCCTGGGTTTGCGTTATGATCACAATTTACTTAATAAAGTAATAAAGAATTTAGGAAGGGATGTTTCATTATTCCGACTGTAATGAATTACCATAACATTTCTGCTGCAGCTTATCTGAGAAGGCACACTTCCAAGGACAGGGATGGCTTTTGAGCAGACACTCCAAAAGGATTGGTACAGCATTCTGGGAGCAGACCCGTCTGCAAATGTGTCAGACCTAAAACAAAAATATCAGAAACTCATATTACTGGTAAGTCTTTTTCTTTCAGATTGGAAATGGCAGGGAAAACAGTTTTGTTTTTTTAACGTGACCAAAAATTTAAGCTTCAAAACATGTAGCTCAATAGGAATCTAGACATTTGTTTGTTCAGTTGAAAATTTTAACAGTAGAGAAAAAAGAATTTTGATTAGGTATGGGGTGATTGAATTAGAATCTTCTGATTCTATCACTATAAGAACTTGGACCACTTTTTTTCTGTTTGTCTCAGCTAATGTTGAATGAAATAATCCATGTAAAATGTTTAAAACAGTTTTTACTTAGTAAGTGTTAAAATCCACTCGCCACTAGCCACACTATTAAGTACCTGAAATGTGTACTGTTATGTGCATAAAATTGTAATGTGTATTAAATAGAGAATGTGCACTGGATTTTGATGACTTGGCACAAATAAGAATATAAAAGTCTAAATATTTTTATACTGATTATATATTAAAATGATAATAGTTTCTATGTACTGGTGGTTGCACAGAATATATGTGCTTGTTTTGCATACAATATTAAAATTTTAAGTAATATTTTTATTCTTTGAGAATTTCATATAATTTTGATCATATCCATTCCCCTTCCCCCAGCTTCTCCCCGATATTCTCCCACCTCCCTACTGACCCCAGTTCGAGTTCTCTTCTCCCCAACCCGCGACCCATCGAGTTCAATTTGTGTTGCCCAAATACTCTTGGGTCTGGGGCCTGTCCTGGAGTGTGGTCTACACATCAGGAGTCAGACCCTCAAAGAAAACTGACTCCTCCTCTGCCTGCACTTATCACATACCAGTAACTCCTTAACTAGAGGTGGAGTTTTGTGCTCACCTCTTCCCCTCCATGCTGGGATTTATAATATCAAAATATCACTTATTTTGCTTGTGTTTAACATGCATGTGTAGCCTTTATTTATAGCTTAGATTAATTTCTATTGGATAGTGATAACTTAAGCCTTTTTATTGTTTTTCTTATTTGTTTTTTTTAATTGATGTACATAAAATTATCTAGAGCCTTTGAATTGTTCTATTAATTTATCCAGTTGTACTTTGATGATTGTGAGCCAAGGTCTTCATTTAGTAATGGTCTCCATTTAGTTCAGTTTACAAAAAAGAGCAAAGAATCATTATTTATGTAGCATTGCTTGTCTAATTTGTGACAAGTATGATCTCTGATATTTTGTTCAAACTATGTTTATTAGGAAAGATATCTCACCGTCAAAAATGTGCTAATATCCGAGTCTTAGAAAAATGAACTTTAGGCACCTTCTGCCTTGGAATTTTTAAGATGTATCAGAAAAATCAAGTACATTTTGTTGAAATTTTTCCAAATCATCCTTGTACTTTAGTTAATGCTAGTCAATGTTAGATAATGCTACGCTAGATAATTGACTGGAGAGACCTGGAGATCCTTCTATGTTCTGTTGTCTTTTAGTTGAGCACTGAGAAGGCTCTAAGTGATCCTATTTGTCAGACACATTAAAAATATATTATATATAATCTATGTCTGTCCACTACTAAGTTATACTCCCAGTATAGAAGGTTTTGTTTTTATGAAATATATCCATTTTGGTTTTGTTGTTTTATATGTATTGCTTCTGTGTCTTCTCTAAAGTCATGGAAATACTCTTCTATGTCTTCTAGATGCTTTATAGTTTGCTTTACTGCTAGACCTATGCCTTCTATGTAGGCTGAGGTTGCTGGCTAGACTTGTATGTTTCCTCAGTATAGAAGTGTAGTTCCTCCAACATCATTTCATCATTTCCTGAAAACATTTTCTTTCTCCATTAGCCTGTCTGTTTCTGGGCATTATATGAAATTTTCTTATTCTTTTTAAGTTTACTTTTGTTTACTTATGTTCTTTCTTAAATTTTTATTTTATTTAAAAAGTGTGTGTGTGTGTGTGTGTGTGTGTGTGTGTTGTGTGTGCAACAACACTGGTGTGTATAGGTCAGAAAACAACATGAGAGGGTCAGTTCTCTCTTTTGACCATGTGGGTCCTGGAGATACAACTCAGGTCCTTGGGTGTGGCAGCAAGTGCCTTTACCCACTGAGCCATCTTGCTGGCCCTTGCTCACATTTCTATAGAAATTTTAGAATCAGCTTATAAAAGTCTAACAAAAAACAGTTTTGGCTGAGTCTTATAAAATTTCATTAGTATATTTCCATTTTAGTGAAATAGATACTTTACCAGTATTGAATTTGAATACATGAACATATCATATTCTTTCCACTACTTATTTAAACCATTTTTGATTTATCTCATCAATACTTAATAATTTTTAGTACAGAAATTGTGAAGTTAGTTTTTGTCAACTTGACACACCTGGGAAGAGGCAACCTCAGTTAAGGAATTGCCTAGGTCAGATTAGCCTGTGTTTGTCCTTGGGACACTGTGTGGGAGGGCCCAGCCCATCGTGGGTGGTACTATCTATCCCTAGGCAGGTGGACTTGGGCTGTATAAGAAAGCTAGCTGAGCATAAGCCAGTGAGGGAGTAACAGAGCCAGATAGCAAGCAGTGTTCCTGGATGGTTTCTGTGTCAGTTCCTGCCTGACTTCTCAACGATGGCTCATGACCTGGAAGTTGAAAGATAAAATAAACCCTTTCTTCCCCAAGTTGCTTTTGTTCAGAGGCTTTTATCACAGCGACAGAAGACTGAACTAGGACAGAGATGTTACAATATTTCTTTGGGTTTATATCTACCAATTTGATGATTTGGTTTCATTGTAAATGTCACTCTTTTTCCAATTTCACTTTCCAGTTATTGGTTGGCAGTGTGTAGAATTAGTATAACTTATTTTTATATATCAGTATCTCATTCTTCAGTTGTGGTGCATTTGCTTTAGAATTCTCCCAGAACTCTTATAGAGACTGAGAATTTTATACCAAAATAATCACCACTTGCAATGGAAGAGAGCCCTCTCTTTCTATTGTGTGCCATGGGTTTCTTCTTGCCATACTGTATGGTCTACATAGTTTGTGTTAGGTTTCACACCTGAGACAAATGGCTGAGGTGCCTATTTAACATATCAAAGCTGACACTGGCCACCAGGTTCTTCCTTCAATCTCTCAGCCCTTACCTGTTACAGGACCCTCCTGGCTGGCATACCCACCCCCTACCTTGAACTCTGTAGCCCAGGAGGCTAGGCTGCTCTTCCTGATATAATTCAGCCATTTTGGTTACTCACCCTCTTTGTGCCTTTGGGCCTCCTGGCTGCTGCACCGGGTTCCCATCTCTCCCCTGTCCTTTCTCTCCCCACTTTCCTCACATGCATGGGTCAGGGTCATGTCCACTCTGGACTCTCCCAGATGTCCCTGCCTCTGGCTATGCTCTTCCACACATCTGCAGTAAACCTTCTACTCTGCCATACTTAGGAACAGTCATGGTCCTGTCTTTATATTTCTTTTTGTTTTTCTCATTCTGTTTGCTTGTCTCTTGCCTGTGCCTCTGGTGGTTTTCTTCGACTGCTATTGCGCTGCCAAGGTTCAAAACTGAAGTGGGTTTCTTCTCGCTGAGGCTTTTACATTTTGGATTTGGGTTCTGTAGGCTTCTTAGAAGCCTTGGCTTTCTTATTCTTCAGCTCTCTGTTTTACAAAAGCAAAAGCGGAACTATGAATTATGAAAAAAAAAACTCCATGCTTTTACCAATGGGCTAATAGTAAGAGTACTGAAGATATTTGGCTGTTTTTTTTTTTTTTTTGAATATTCCTCTCAGGACTGGAATGTGCTGAGCTTTTCTTTCATTTTTTAAAAAATAGCCAAATTCCTTACCCCTCTTATGCTGCTCCAGAGATGTTGCTCCTTCTCTGGCCTCTGTAGGAAAACTGTTTCCCATAGATGTCTCTACTGCATTCCTCCAGGTCCTCGCCACCATCGCAAGGCTTTGCTCCTTCCACTCCTCGAAGTTCCGATGGTCAGGATCATCACTCGCTTCTCCCTTGCTAAAAGCAGCAATCAGTTGTAGGCTTTCTTTTGGTTTATTACTTAGGTGGCCAAATCCTAGTTTTGTCAGAAGAGTTCTGATGTGTGTCTGTTAGCCTGGTATAATAATAGCACCCCTCACAGGGCGGTGGTGGCTCATGCCTTTAATCCCAGCACTCGGGAGGTAGAACCAGGCCGACCTCTGTGAGTTCAAGGCCAGCCTGGTCTACAGAGCGAGATCCAGGACAGGCTCCAAAGCTACACAGAGAAACTCTGTCTCGAGAAAACAAAACAAAAGAAAAAAGCACCCTGCTTTATGCTCAGAAGTGTCCTAGTTGAAATTGTCACCCTGCTGTCAGCAGTATTTGATCCAGCTTACCACGCTTTCTCCTTTCATACAATTGTCTTCACTCATATTCCAGTACATAATATTTTTCTGAGATATTGCCTGTGAAAAACCATGTCTGGAATGTTGTAGGTATCCAGTAGATTTTTGCTTAATGGATGTAAGCAACTTTATATTTTAATTCCTGTATCACAAAGTTTTTACTTTTGTATTTTTCATTTTTATTTTCTGCCTTATTTATACATTTTTTAAAAATTTTTGAATGGTTTCTTTATACAATTTCAGCAAAACAATATTTTTTAAAAATTATTAAAGTTTTCTTTGTCTTCTTTCAGTTCTGGGTCCTCCCCCTCCTCCCCTGGCACCACCACCACCACCACCACCCACCACCCACCACCACCACCACCACCACCACCAACAACAACAACAACAACCATATTTTTTTTTTTATTATAAAGGCTTCTTTATATACTTGATTCATGATCATATTTAAGAGTGAAATATTAGAGCTGATTTTTAACATTTTTGTCTGTGGCCAGAGGAGTTCATCCAGTTGGTCAATGATGCTATTTAAGCACTTCATTTTTTAGCATTTAAATCCATTTCCCATGGAGGAATTCTCAAATATCTACCTGGTGACACGGGAACCTGGGCTCCTAGTACTCTGTGTCCATGTTCTTTTTTCTTTTTGTCTTTGTTTTTTTTTCTTTTTTTTTTCTTTTTTTTT